AAAATTATGAGGGCCCTGCCAAAGCTTCCTGTCAAAAGGCAATTATTGACCTATATTTTCATGAAGTTGGATAGGCGTTTGAATAAGAGGAGTTGTTAATGCCAACCCTGACCCATTTTTACAACTTTTTACCCAAGAGCGATCCTTGGGACCGTAACTCACCCGGCCAATGAGATACTGAAGGTCACTGTGCTGTCGATGAAGGGCAAATTATTTTCCTGACCAAAAATAGCATGTGTCTATCGATATCCAGTAAGGTCAAAAGGGGTCTAGAAGGAGGGCTAAAGGGACTAGAAAACAAAGGCTTGAGCAGAGAAACATGTAAAAAAAAGTATGAATCTTCCATCTTGGTCCCTGGTCAAGACATAAAGAGATGGGGCTGAGGAAAGGGACAATATAACGGGCACAAATAAACCTCAAAGCAAGAAAGTTTCTTATTGAAAACCTTGAGATTGATGTCACTTGTTGAGAGCCAAACCTCCTAACCTGGTAAGTCTTGGACTCTATAAACCAGTCACTAAATAAGATAAACATGCCCACTGTTATATTGTGTACCAGCACAGGAATGACATATGCAATTGCTTTATATCAGGAAACAGCGCAGCACTAACATCTGCTGGGAAGGTGATCATCTGCTGTAATTAAAAATTATTTTATCTTAAAACCAAAATCCACACAAATGATAGTTTTTTACCTGCACAAATTAGGTAGCACTGAAAAAGTAGGCTAGACAATTTTGATTAAATTCAAAGCTTAATTGGGGGATAGTTGACCTCTGTGTGGCCTTAAACATAATCTTTAATATCTCTGAAAAAACAGCACATATCATCTTTATTTATTTCATTTTTACAGTTTTTTTTTTTTTACAATTACATTATTGTTTTAAATGCACTAAAGAAGCAATAACCATTCAGTCTATTTGCTGAGTTTTTTCACATCGGTGGGGTTTCAGCTCATGCAGCTGAAGCTCCTCCTATTTGGTGAATAAATGTTTTCATTTCAGGTTCAAGACGTTACTAACATATGACTTTCATAATGAATGTTGATTCATCCGGTGGAAATTGACTGACGACTGGTACTTACAGACTTAAATAAGTTTTGGTTGAATTTCCCTTGCCATCTGAGTAGCTTGATGGCCTGAAATGTAAATATTTCATCATGAAAATGCATTTTTTTCTTATCATACTCTATACCTTTAACTACTCTCCACTTTTTAGCTCAATGTGCTCCTCTTCCAGTGACTACCAGACTCACTAACGGTGTCAGTAGCTAGTGCATCGTAGTTACCATAGCGATGGTTGGTGCTGATGATGGCGCGCATCACATTGCCCAAACCCTGGAGCTACTGTTTTATTAAACAGTCATGCTACTTTTGTCTCTTCAAATATAAAACACCTCAAAGTTTTATTTTTTGGGAGACCAAGATCATCGTCCTATAGGCAGTTTCGGTTGAAATTATTTTTGGTTATATATCACAACTTAAACAATAAAAAATACTAATAAAATACAGAGGAACTCTGTCCTCAATGGTATTTAGGGCCCTGGTAGCCTCTGCAGCCTCTCCTCCCTTAGAGGTGACATTATTATTGCAGTGATTGTTAAAAATTGGTTTGGCAAAAGGAGTACTTAAGAACTTGCTGGCAAGTTTGCAGCTGGTAGGACTCCAGACCTACAGGCTTTTTCCAGTTTCTCTCACAGGCAACAAAGCCGCAGACCATCATAAGTTTACACCAGGTTTACGGTGATATTTGTTACCATCCATCCATTCATCAACTGCTTGTCTGTCAGGGTCACAAGGGGGTGTTTCCTATCTCCAATAGTCTATGGGTAAAAGGCAGCGTACATTTTGAACAGAATGCCAGTCCGTGAAAGGACAACATTTGTTACTCATCCATCCATCTTCTAATACTTGTCTATCATGGTCAGGGGGGTGGCTGGTGCCTTTTTCAATAGATCTAAAGGCAAAAGGCAGTGTACACCATGGACAGGTTGCAAGTCCATCTCAGGTCAACATTGCCCATTTTCTAAAATCTTGATTGCTAATCTTAAAACAGCCTGTTCCAAAGAATGCCACAAAATTTTAGGTTAAATAATAATACATCAGCTGTGCTGTGCCTATTACAAATTTGCTTACAGAATTGCATTGCTAGCCAACTTTTGTCCTCTGAATTCTGAAAATGTACCATTTGACTTGAATTCAGCTTCTACAATGTCGGTCAATTTCAAGGCCAGTTGAAGGCAACTGTAAATCATCAGTCATACGTTAAGAAGAACCTGGTCTGGTCCCATCAGCCACTTTGATAAACTTATCAGAGTGAAAACATGGAGTCTGTGAAACTTTAGGGTGCTGTGTGCTTGTGTGGGGGGATGACTGAGACTCACGTCATGTTTCCTCTGGAGGTTAGAAATTCATGAGCCAGACAATCCACACCACAGTTCTTGGTTTGAAAGCTGCTTATCGTAGGTGGTCTGCTCCAGTGGGAGGTGGGTTTGGTTGGAGAGTAGGATGACATATGCTCCACAGTTTGGTGATAAAGGCCTTTAAATGCACACACAAGAATGTCAAAGGAGAAAAAACATGAATACAGTCCAAGGAAGCTTCATGTACTAAGAGATAAAATGAATGACTGGTGTCTTTGATAAAAGTGGGAAAAAAAATCCCAGTTTTCCTGGCTTCTTGCCCCTTCAGTAAAAGCAGTTTTTAAGTTAAAAGTTTTAAATCATAATTGGAATTTTGTACCCTCTTTCCCATATCCACAATTCCAAAGGCTGATCTTTGTGAAGAAGCAAAAGCTTTAACTTATATTTAACTTTTTAAATTTTTTTTCTGCAAAATTTCACTGAAGGCCAAGGGATGTGGCTAAACATTTCAACAAGGGGTTGCTACTTTGTGAATCAGGCCAAAGCAAACTCAAAGCTGGTGAAGAATGTAAGCATTTATCTAAGGACCAGGGGTGACATGCTCAATTTGTTCCAAAATAGGTCTCTGTGGTGCCCACAAGGAGATAGAGAAAGCATGTGCATAAGTAAATGTGTAGGACAAGTTTTGTTAAGCTTCTGGACTACAACCAGAGGCCAGAGAAAAGATACAGTATTTTGTTTATTTAAAATTCCCCTTTGTTTAAAGCTCATGGAGCTAAGCATGTGGAAGTGTACAGTAGGGTCTTCTTTTGGTATTTACAAGTGCTTGCTGCCATGGAAGTTGAGTGGAGTTTTGCTTATCTTAGATTCAGATTAATCCAGTAAAGTAAGAAGAACTAGCACTTCAAAAGAACAAAACATGAAAGAACTACTAAGGAAATCCATTCTTTCTCATAGCGTCTAGCGTAGAGCCCCATCTAAAATGCCCCTGGTAATTGCAAATTACTGGGTATTTTATCGGATTCTGGTAGTGTGAAGCTTTCCCATCATTCCCTAAAGGCTTTTATGTCCCTATCGGTTGTGTACCAACCTACCAGAGCCTGTAGCTTGGTCGTTTAATGACTGCCATTAACATATCAAGATCTGCCAATGGGTGCTGGATGCTTTTTCCCACCCCTCCTACAACTTTCTCTGGATTGCCAAAATTGAAAAGGCTCCTTGAAGTCTTCATTTAGGCCCTTTACGGAGCAAAGAACATTAAGGTGTAATTGGATTTGTTCGCATATTCGCTGTGTGGACATTATCTTACCATGTACCCATGACTATGCATCTTCCCTTTGGGTCATTGCTTATCTGTTAAACCTCTAAATAATAAAATAGGAATAAAATAAAATTTGATTCACTTACATTGTCTGTTCCGAACATTGACTAATCTTAGTTTTGATAGTAGGTTGATGGCAATTTGTCTAAATGAAACTACACACAGTTGAAAAAAATAAACGCTAGTTTATGAATCTCAGGTAATCCATCAACTCTTAGTTTTTTTGTTTTCATGAGGAAAATATTTATGCAGATTTTAAAGAACATATTTATGCAGATTTCAAAGGAATCACCATGAACTATCAGCAGAGATCTCATCCCTTTGAAACTAATTTGTAGACCTTAGCAGCCTCATTGCATGGTTTGTCTTCGAGCCTGGCTGCATCTGTTAGCATTTTGTTTGGTTTAGCTCAGAGCTCTCTGTGTGCTCCTGTGTGTGTGTCCATTTGAGCTTACATTCTGTTTACCAGATGTGCAACAGATAAAGGCTGTTGAATGGTACACTGTGTATTACACCATCACCACTTTAGCAATATGGGGTTAACAATGGCAATAAAGATGCAAAGACGGTGTCCTTGCTATGAACATGGCAGATTCTAAGTTTAAATAAAACCCAACAAAATTCATAACAAAACTATTGTTTGGGATTTTCTTGAAGTCACATTGTCAGAATGACACTGCAGAATGACAATATATGGCAAGAAACAGTATCACAAGAATAAAAAAATAAAAAAAAAAGACAAGCACAATTGTGTAAAAGATGAACAAATATTATAATGCCACTGCCCAATTACTTTGTGGTGAAAAGATATATATATCTTTTCATCAATCATCTTCTGCTTGTTGCAGCAGCCTCAATTTAGGAGCCCAGACTTATATCTAGGGATCCAGGTGTCCAGCGGTCATCCTTTCCAGATGCCTGAATCACCTGAGGGCGCAGCAGCTCTATTCCAAGTCAATCCCAGATAGACGGACATCTCACCTTGTCTCAACGTGAAAGTCCAGTTACCCTGTGGAGAAAACTCCTTTTAGCCATCTGTATCCACAGTTTCATTCTTTTAGTTTACATCTTGTTATGATTAAATAGAGTTGTGAGGACATAAGCATTTTCAGTTAACCTTTAAGGTGTTGGGCCATAATGAAAAAAATCCTCTCTGTGCTGGGATCATTTTGATTCATTTTGTGGCACCATATGTTTTTTAGTTAGGTATGTAATGAAAATACCTTATCATGATTCGTTCAATCTCAGTGACTGTTATCTACTTTTTTCCATGATTAAATCTTTTTCTGTTCCTTCATCTCTGTCCTTTTCTCTCCAGATTGAGAACCTGATGGAGCAGTTAAAGGATAAGGACAAACAGCTGGTTGGATTGAGAGAAAGGGTTCAGGGCCTTCAAACTGACTCGAGTAACACAGACACAGCCCTGGCTACCCTGGAGGAGGCTTTATCAGAAAAGGTATGAGGGGGACAAGGGGTTGGCAGGGCAATGCAATATTTGCATATTTAATTTTTGTTGTATTATAAGAAAGTTCAGTTGTCTGTGAAATAATCAATATTGGTCCACTTTTCATAATACAGACTTAGCCTATAGCAAAGTGTGAGATTAGATAATGTTATCGCTAAGTTTGATTCACAGTTATGACCAAATTGTAATGAATGTTTTTATGCTTTAGTGTTCTGTTATGGCAAAATGTCTTTACATAACAGATTTAAAATTTCCCCTGCTTTTTGCCAGATTAAATTTAGCAGACATTTTCCAGAATATTAACTTTTGTATTAATGTTATATGCACAAAATAGACATCAAGCTAGTGAGTAGATTGGCATAGGATTTAAAGTAAAGAAAACAAACCTACACCACCTATAGCTGGGTTTCTGTTGTAAACATTCCTGAATTTGTTTGCTGACAACATGGATAAGCAGCTGGTGTCTATAAAGTCTTACCTCAACAGGAGTGAGGCATTTTTTACCAAATGAAACCAATTGCTTTTGCATAGCTCCCTAGTAGACACACAGTAAAAAAGTTTAAGCAATTAAACTCCTTTATCAGTTTTTATTTTTTGTCATTGCATATTGATTAGTTTATTTTTTATGAGCCTTCTAATACTGTTCGATGAGGGAGGAGTCACTGTTACCTTCAGATGAAAATGGGATGAATGTGATGTTACTTTGTTCTATTATATAGCAGATGTTTCATTCCTGTCTTAAAATTATAAAAAAAAAAATCATTGAACTCACTAGCTTGATGTCAGAATGATTCCATCCTTCTTCTGTGCTCCACATTTTTCATACTAGCATTTCAAAAGGATTGGATTTGTTTTCTTCAGGCTGTAAAAAGTTTCCATTTTCACATTTGTACTCTAAGCTGAAAGATGATTACTGGTGTGTTATTTATTTGCTTAAGACTTCCTTGGTGAGACAGATGTGTACATTATGTCCAACCAGTAAGCTTACTTATCAATAGAATAAACTTTTGGTGGATTTTTGATATATTTGCGTCAGTAATTTTTTCTAAAACTTGCTATGTCCTTCCAACTGTACTGTACAGTTAAGGATAAAATAATCAAGAAATCAGAATCAACTTTATCAGCTAAGATTGTATGCACTAACAAAATAATTCAACTTTTTCCCCCCATTGCTTACATAGTACTCTACTGCATAAATCCAGTGTGTAGAAAACACTTAAATTACTGTTTTAGTGCTTCCAATAAAAGAGCATCCTACTAGTGTGTTAATATTTAATTAGTAGAGAACAACAACACATGTGATATTCACATTTAAATAAATTCAAAAAATTCCCAGTGTTTTTTGTAGAGTTGAAAGAATTTAGATTTTTAATATTGCAGCCAGAGTGTTGACTCCATTTTATTAGAAGTCTCTGTGTGGTAGACCAACTCAAAGTAACACATAGCTATGAAGTGGGAAAAAAAAAAAAAGATTAAAGCAAAAAATGAAAATATCAAAAGGTTTTTTTTTTTTTATTAATGCAACTAAATGTATTTATCAAAGCTAATTGCATTTTGAATTAAAAAAGTTCACAAACTGTTTCCTTTCTGTAATGTTGGGTGAGTATAAATGCAACTCTTTTTGTGGTGGTTTCAGTGTTTTTGCTAAAGGACTTTAGTGAACAAACAGCATAATGGAAACCAGGCAACACACCAAACAGATCAGGAATGAAGTTTTTGAGAATTTGTCTAAAACTTGGTTAACTTGTATTGCAACATTCAAAACTTTACACATATTACATTGCACTGTTCAGTTCATCAGCTGAAAACAGAAAGTGTTGGACACATCTGCAAAGCCATAACAGAGTTGCCTTACTATGCAGACAGCTGTGGCAAAGAAGGCTTTCATTTAGAAAGCAGCCAAAAGCAACATGGTAACTCTGATTACGTGTCTAAACCGGTTACATCCACAAATCTGGTGAGACGACTATTAGCAGTGGACTCCATAATCTGGTCTTCATGAGAGGGGAGAAGAAGAATGGTACTGCCTAAGGAAAGCTGTAATAAGTATAATTAGATTTTTTTTTCACAGACCAAATGAGAAATAAAACCAACAAATGGAGGAAGGTAAACTGCTGAAATAGATAAAACAATACACGTTTTCACTTCAGGCAGAATGCTCACTGTTAAAGACAGCTAATACTGCATTTCACTTTGAATACTCAAATGCCTGGTGGTGGCAGCATCATGTTTTAGTTATACCTTCTTTTTGGAGGTACAGCAAAATCTGATCTGGCATAATGCAGATTGGTACATGTAGACCGTATCAATCTGGAAAGCCTCATGTAGAACCTGCTCCTAAAATAGAGAGACATTCAATACAATTCTTCGACCTGATTGGATATCTGCCTCCCTTGTCGAGCTTTTAACCAATCACAGCTGACGTATTACATTCTTGATTTGCTTAACAACTAGTGGAGTTAATGATAAATCAAACTCTTACAGAACCAAATCCCTGTTCTGCCTTTGGACCTCTGAGCCTGCCTGTCCCCGTTTTGATCTGTTTTCTTGACCTGTCTTCGGACTCCTCCTGGATCTCTGCCTGTCTTTGTCCTGAACGTGGAACTATTTTCCAACTCCATCTGGATTTCCCCTCCGCACCTTTTTTGATCTCTGATCTCTTGGCTCTCTCTACGGAGCATGTCACTGACATCGGATTTGGCTTTACACCCTGGATCGTCTGCTCGGTTCTGATCTCCTGCGGGTTCTCCGACTTCCGATGCATCAGCGTCTGGAACACTCTGGGCAGCGCCCACTTCATCGTGTTTGTAGCCGAAAGGCTGGAACCAACCTCACCCTCTGGGCTCGAAATGAACTATAAGACCAGGAGGCTAGGCTAATACGTTCCTTATCCGCCTCTAGAGAGAAGCGGTCATTGACCTGTTGTCTCCCACAGTTTCCTGCAGTAGATGCCGATGATGTTCACTGCAGTTCTGTTTCAAGTAAACGTTTTCAGAAATCTGTTTGACCGCCTCAGATACTGGATGCTATTCTTCTGAGCCTGACAGAGTGTGTACTGGAGCTTCTCACAAAATACAAAATGACCTAATTTATGCTATTACTGAAATTATGGGAGAAGAGATAGAAACAGAGATAAAAAAAATGCACCATTTGTTACTGTAATGATGGATGAAACAACAGACGTTGGTAATGCTGCATAGCTCTCACTACATAACATAATTTGTCAAGGTGCATTTTATCAAATACAGTATTAGAATGAAACTGGTGGCAAGCAAGCCTACTACATTACTGCTCTTATTTCATGTTTACTTTAGGAATATGGATGTTTGGATAAAGTTTTAGTGCAGTGTTATGATAGGGCTGCTGTAAAGGCATCTGGACTAAATGGAGTGCAAGTGAAAGTTAAGGACAGGGCACATATGACCTTATTCATTCACTGCAATGCACATCATCTTAATACTGGTCAAAGAAGCCTCAAAGCTTAAAGAATGCAAATTATTTTTAATTTGTTTGACAACCTGAATGGCCTTGCTGCGTTCTGAAGATCTCCAAACCGCATTCAGCTACTGGATGATATCAGCAAGTGGCGTCTTTCACATGTTGCACCGACACGGTGGCAATAGACATAGAGATTAGTGAATGCAGTCCATGAGAAGATTATTGTGCTAAAGGAGTTGTTTGATCACTTAATGGAACATCATGATGAGTATGAAAAGGACATTGTGCTTTGTACAGATTAATTTGATAAGTGCCTGGATGATTTTGAGTTTTGTTTTTTTGCTGATGGGCTTTTTGAGCATGTTGATGTGCTCTTTGGAATGCTTCAAACCAAAACACTAGATATACAATTCTGCATGGCAAGGGGCAATGAGTTTTGTGACAAATTCAAGTTTTCATTCTAAAGAGGAAAACTAATACTATATCTAAGATGGCTGCCTAAAACAACACTGCCCAGCAGGGACAGAGTGAGGAGATCAGAAAAGCTACCAAGAGTCTGGCTACTAAGAGTCTAAGAAGATACAGAAAATGTTCGCCCTGGAAGATTTAAAAGAAGAAGAAATATTGGAATATTTATTTACCTTACAAAGAGAAATTTCCCTGACATAAACATGTGGACAAGATTGTTGGGGCCCCTTTTACTGATGAAAGAGAAATCCACAGTGGTTAAAGAAATAACTTGAATCGGACACAAGCAATAATTTCAGCTATTTGGTACGGGTCATTATCCTGTTGAAAGAACCATGACTTGCGACTAAGACCAGATTTCTGACACTGGGCACCACATTTCTTTCTATAATCCTTTGATCATGTTGAGATTTCATTGTACCTTGCAGAGAGATTCGAGACACCCTGTGCCGGGCGAAGCAAAGCAGCCCTAGAATATAATAGTTTCCTTTATGTTATTCATTAAAGACAGTGTTCTTTTCTTGATGTTCTTTATTTTTTGGTCAGTGAACATCTATTGTGCTTGGCAAGAAGTGCCATTTTTGTCTCATCTGTCCATAGGATACTATCCCAGAAGTCTGGCAAAATCCAATCTGTTTTTTTTAGGTAATTTGCTTTTAACAATGATTTCTTCTTAGCTCTTTTGCTATTAAGTCGACTTTAGCTCAAACTTTGATGGATGGTGCAATCTGACACTGATTTATCTTGAGTTTGGAACTCCCCTTTAATCAATAAAACAAGATTTTTTATAACATACATCTACTTGGCAATATCTAATTTCAACATGCAAAATTAAATTGTTATGCCAGGGACATTGCTAATGCTGTGTTTGTTGCACATTTTGATTCCTTGTTGACAGAGTAAGGCGACTAAAAATATATAATCTGATATAAAAAAACAAACAGATATTGAGTTGTGAAAATTAATATTTCACTGTGGAAAAATAAAATACACCAGCTCTGGTATTGTTGCATTTTAAGAAAAATCAATGTTTTTGAGAATTTCTATTTGAAAATATTTTGAAAACCTAGGTTTATTTTCATTCT